CACGAGCGCCGCGACGGCAGAAATCGCGCCGCTTTAGGGCCAAAATCGCTGCATGTGAAACACGCTTTAGGGTGCACGGTCGCAGATTTGGAGCGCGAGGATCTGGTAGCAGAGCCTTTCTCGGGGAGCCTGTAATCAGAGCACAGCTTTTGCAGCGGCGAGAACCTGAAACATGGTTTTCAAACCCGACGAGAAAAAAAGCGGTAGCCCGAGGAACGCGAGAAGCTCGAGCGGACATTCCATCGCTCGAAACAAGTGCGTTTCGGCGCCTCGCCGCAGCGGGGCGCCCGTTACATGCCTCTTGTCTGCCGTCTACCTTTTCACTTTCGGCGGCCCCGTCTCGAGGCGATCTGCCAGGCTTTGTCAGTATAGAGGAGGCTATGGTGCACGTTATGTATTGGCGATTTTCATCGCGTGTTCTTGAAGCTATTTGCACGGCTTTGTCGTTAGATAGTCCAGGCCTTTGTGATTATCTGATTTGCTCTGAAAAGCTGGCGAGCGAACCTGCCGCTCGAGCTTGTTGTCCCGACCGTTAGGTGCCGTCCATTTCGCAGAAGTCGTCAGGCACCGGCACAAGGTAACAACGGAATCTGCCCCACGTTCTGAACCTGAGTGGAGGATATGGACACTACCCGATTACAATAGGACACTTTGGGGAATGACTTCAGTTACAAACCGTACTTCCTTTTCCTGCCCCCTTCCATTGCCATTTCAGCTAGAGGAAACGTGTAATCAACGCTCAACGCTACTTCCAAAGTAAAAAAAAAAAAAAAAAAAAAAAGCGAAAGGCGCCAGTGGATTAAGCCTCTTCCAAGAGTCAACCAAACGAGTGGCTGAGTTACGTGATAAAGACGGAAACAAAACAGACCTTGCCACACCCATGGCTCCCATCGACGTCGCTTGACGAATCGATAAAAGAATACAAAAAAGCGGTTTGTTTCGGAGTCCGCGTTGACCGTGGCACGATCGACTCCGTCCAAAACGAGCCACGCTGTTTTGGGTCCTCCACAGTTAATCGAGTTTGCTCGCCGCCTTTTCGAGCGAGAACAATGCGACTTCCTTTCCGTGCGATTGGCCGCGCTTCCGGGCTATTCAACCGGCAGCGAACGGGCGGCTTACAAATTCGGGACCTTGGGTGTCCCGCCACAGGAAGTTCCCAAGTTCACCGATTTCGCCTTAATATCAGAGCGCTAGAAATCCGGCCATCATCACAAGCGCGATGGCAACATTCGGACAAAACTGACCACGCAAAGGTAGATTTGGTTAATATGTGCTGAGGTTCTACTGGCGTGCGGTCGTGCATTTTTAACTTCTAACTTTGAACCCTATTAGAACATATTTGTGCCGAGGAAACTGGACAAAAAGCTTCAAATTGGAAGCTTGACTAGGTTCGGTGTCCCTGCACATATAAAATAATATACAATAATCAAATAAAACAACACTATAACGAAAACAAAAAAAAGTGCAGACTGTTTCGTTTTTTTTTTTTTTACTTAAACAATGATTATCGATGCGGTCGAAGACGAAGTTGTTAAGCAATGTGGGCCGGTTGGCAAACAAGCTACTGAACTGCATAATTAGTACGGAAATGGGGAATGATCCGGAATTCATGGCGTCGGATATTGATTATATATTCGCGTTTAGTCAAGTTTTAAAGATGAGGCAAAAAATCGATAGACTCCACACATCAGAATAAATACGAGCATAATAAACGATAGCCATGAACACTGGCAACTTTATGGTATAGTGACTAAAAATAATTGTTCGGCAGGAGTGTCGTTTCAAACATTTGCAATGGAACGCAGTACTTTTTTTTGTTGATAATCATTAGTTCGTTAATATTAGTTTTAGTTGTGGTTTCCCGAGCCAAGTGGAAGTAGTTAATATGTGTAGCAAACAAAGCGGGATAAATTTGAACCTTGTAATATATAGGCAAAAGAGAACGGCAATGACCGATTACATCGACTATTTTTGCAGCTACTGCGTGATGCGTGTTACATACCCCAGGCCAACGGTGCTATTGCGCGTACCGAATCTCACTCTTGAGCAGAAATTATGGGGCTAAAATCTTCATCTCATTAAATAAACATTATTACAGTGCTTAAATGTTAGGGCATGACTAGCGTCTCGCAGTAATGGGTAATGGGATGTTTCCTTTTTACGCGGCAGGTAATTTACGAGTGCCACTCATTACTTGGACGGTGCAATAGCGTCTTTTTCAAAAGTCCATCGAGCAGTATTAGCGGTTGTCATTGCTTGGACACGAGGCACGTGATTGGATCCGAGTTCACTCCGAGTGCTGACGTCAGCACTCGTGTCGAATCTGAGCTGAGCCGAGTTTACGCCGAACGCTCACGCAGGCCTCGTGTCCAATACAAAGCTCAGAGTGTATGCAATCAAGCAATCGCGGACAGGCACGAACTTTTGAAAATGGTCTATTTCTGCTTGCCTGAGAACGCCGGTCAATATATTTCTTAGATACGCAGAAATGATAACAGACCATCGCGGATCGTAAATACTTTAAAGCAGACGTAACGAAATGCCGTGAACAATTAAAACCCTGTAAGAAATGTGGCTCAAAGCACATTATACTGAACATATCCGGAAAGTCCTGGAATATTTCGGTAGTCTTTAAGTGCCGCTTTAAAATCCTTTACGAGTGAACATCCACGTTAAAACATTTGTTCGTACCCGCCCCCCCCCCCCCCCCCTTCCCTTTAAGAAGCAACAAATATGACGTCGCTGTCAGAAATCAAAAGACGGACGTGACCTGAACCTTATGAGTTACCTGGCACGTTCCATGACATATGACTAAATTGGCTATCCAGTGCAGTGCTTGGGATGGTAAATAACATAGCTAATTAGTTAGTCGGCTATACTATTGTTTAACCGAATGGATGGCTTAGCCGCAGCCGAACTTCTGATTCCGCCTCGATTGGAAATGATCGGTGTACGCTTCTATAAAACCTATACCATATCGAGAATGCTGTCTCGGCCGGAATACGGATGACGAATCGAACGAGATTACATTCCTATCGTGCTTCGGAAGAGGAAGGCGCGCCCCCCACGGGCATGCACCGGCATAGACCGGATTCGTCTTAAGCCTTCGCCGCGACCGAACCAGAATCAGCGCCTTGGAAGGCTCACACAGCACGTTCTGTCGACCAAGAGATGGAGTGAAGAGAAGAAGAAAAGATTCCGAGGGGCCAACGTTAAAGCGCAGGAAGGTTAGCCACAGCACATGACCCCACGAAGCATACGCTTTCGCCGGTCGTTCTCAAGGGGGAGGTTGCGCAAAAAGCAAGGTCCAACGGCGGCACTCTTTCTGAGGAGGGGGAGCTTTAATTTGGTTCCTTCTTGGTGAAGTTGGTCCGACGGGCAAAAAAGGAAAACATCCGCGAGCCGAGTTCGCACGCATAAATCAGCCGTTCTCGCTTCCTTTCCACCGCCCCTCTGATTGGGCTGCACACCCGGCTCGCTTTTTTGGCCGTGGGTGCGGGGGGAACGGGGATCAAAGAATTAATTGCGGCCGGAATAGACCCCCTATTGCGGCCCTGAGGCCCCCCCTGTGTATACTATATACCTCAATCGTGTTACCGCAATTGGGCGATTGGGTAACCTGCGTCGTTTTTCTTCCTCGGTGCGAGCGTTCACCCTGAGGGACCTCTCTACTGTTTATTTGTTTTTAGTTGTGCGCGCGTTAATCGTCTTGTTTATTCAATTGGGCTCGTCTCGCTCATTATATTCGTTGTCGCCGGAGTGTGGGTGCGCCTATCTGCTTCCAGCTTCTCCAGACTTCTGGGGGAATCGATTTTATTTAGAATTTATGGGGGACATCAATAGTCCGCGTTATAAAACCAGGAAATAATAACCATCGATCATTGTAATACCCCTTGCTCAGCGTATGTTGTAATTTCAGGACATGGGAACGAAATAAACAAAGCTTGGAAACCTACTTATCATCGATGCTTGTTCTTTTATTATATTTTCATGGCTGCCGAATTGGTCGATGAACCTACCGATTAATCGGTTAATGGTTTTAATAGACATTAGTGTTTTAACAGGTTAATCTGTAAAATTTTGAAGAAATAAAATAAATTAAATATAAAGGCTTTCGCCACGCAGACATGGACGAGAACACTTATATGAATGGCCAACTTTATGTGAAATCGTAAGCTAAAGTAAACCGTAAGGGCGTAATTTGTAATCCTAGACAAGGCGCAGAAGGTTACACGTGCCCCGTTTAGCGCAGCAGACTATTGGGAACAATCGAAGGAGGTCGCTCTTGCCGGAGAATATTAACGAACGTCTTTGCCACGCGCAACTGAAGTTATAATCTGCGAGTGTGAGTGTCTTTGAACCTGTCTCAACTACACATCGGGTTGATTCATAATCGAAATTGTATTTTGCGTCGTTTATCACATTATCACCTAAGGCAAAAAGAAGAAAAAACGTAAAATTCTCAATTAAGAAAAAGTTGAAAAAATTCTATCTTAACGTCATGTGTCCGGCAAGGGGCAATGAAGCAAAATATGACTGTACTTCCCAGTTGACAATGCTCCTAGCTAGTCACATTTACACCGATGCCATCATTGATTTGAGCACTACTATTACTACTTTCTTTCGGTGTTTAAGACAAACTAGAAAATCAAGCCAAAAAAGGGGTGGGTTATCTCTGGGGGGTGGGCCATCTCTCGAGATATTGCGATATATAATTTTAAAATTATTATGCGGGGATAATGAACGCGACCGATTAATCAGTTATTTGATCGATCAAAGAGTGAGGATCAATGGGGTTGAAATTGTCAATAGACACCCAGCCCTAATATTTTATCGGTCTTCGTTTCCAATTCATTGTGCTCTAATCAGCTGTATCCTAAAACTGACTACAAACCGGCCATTAAAAAAAACTAGCAAACTGTCACGTTTCATTAAACATCTTTTCTAGTATTCATAAAAAGTTGCTCAAGCCTGATGTTTTCTCTTTCCCTCTTTTTCAGGCGTTCCTGACGGCCAGCGTAAGGTCGGATGAAGGAGAGGCTACCTCAGCGAAACAAGGTACGAAGCCAGCGTTCGACATGAAATCTTTTAGCCGTGCTAAAAATGCGCCATTCACACTAAGGCCTTTGATCAGCGTTCTCGAGATTGCCACAGTCGATATGTGAGTCAAACTTTGAGTAGCCGAGGTCTTCGGCAAACAGTAATTTGGCGTTAACCGCCGTCTATTTCTGGTTATGTTTTGAACGCTACTATAATAATACGGACGACCTGAACGAAGAGGGTGGCCGCCAGAGTAGTCACACCGGAAATTATGTTGCACAAAGGAAGGCACAGCTCTACCCAAAATGGGAGTCGTATTTCAGGCGACAGCATTTTCGACGGTGTTATTCGATCGATAGAGGAAGGAAAGGTTACTGGCCCCTTGCTGCTGTATCCAAACTGACTGAAATTAGGCTTTCGCGAATAAACCGATCTCACCAGCCGGCTTCATTACGCCACCGCTGACGCAATGTATCGAGGAAACTTTAGTCTTTTTTCCACGTGGAACAGCCTCGCAGGAGCTTTGCACGTGCAGAGCACAAGACGGCACGAGACCGGCTCGGGCATTACCTCCTGCCTCCCGTAAACTAGAGTAATGGCGGCCTCACGCATGCGCCGAACGCTTAGAGAGATCGGTCTATTTTCATTCCCTTGTTACAGTGTTCTAGAGGGTGTAGTGGCAAGAGCGGCGCCCGCTTACAATGAAGCGCGTGAAGACGGTCGACGTAGATACCGCGAGTGGCGCTGGAGTTCTGTGCCCTAGGAGAATTAATGGCACGTGTGCGATGAACGAAGAAGACGACGAGGGTGACGCGGTACGCTTCTCCGAAATGCAGCACCGTAGAACTTCTTTCGCAGCTATATTAAGCCTGCAGCCCAAGTGATAGCGTTGCTGAACGATGAGTCAGTACTGGGGGGGGGGGGGGGGGGGGGGGGGGAGGGGGAGGGGGAGGGGGAGGGGGGGGGGAAGCAATATCAATTAAATAATCTCCCTCAAAACACGCGAATATTTCAAGTAGAGGATAGCACACACTCTAGAGGCATTAGTCCAAAGGCAGAACTACAATTTACTACAGAACAACATTAGCAGTTGTTTCGCACCGCGAAAAGCTCCAGTCAAACCACAGTAGTAAGCGCCGAACAGCGCTGATGATGGGGCTGACGGGGACACGCTCCTAGGGCACAGAACAGCAGCGCCATGGTGTCGTCTACGCGCAAAATCTTCACAAAGCGGCCGCCGCTTTTGCCACTACAACCCCCTCTAGAACACTGTACCCTTGTCGGTGCTTTCACAAATTGGATGAATGGATGGGTGACTGGGCAGTAGCTACACCCTTTGTGTCGGGCGGCAGCTTGCGCCACCTAGTCTACCGTTCGAGAAGCACGAAGCACGTTTAAGTAACCTTAACAAAACCATCAACATTAAAAAAAAAAAAAAGTAAATATAAATGATGCGACCTGGATGGAGGCATCTCAGGCACGCCCTAGACCACGGACTCGGCCACGTCCGCCCACACCCGAGACACAGAAGCCGCTTCCGCACTGGCCGAGCAGCGAGTCAGGAAATGGCCCTTCACGCCATCAGCAACCTGGGGCCAGCATCGCAGTCCTGGACATCCGCAAACTTGGGTCCGCGTGCGCGATGAGGTCCGTTGTGCGTGACTAGGCGCAACTGGGCGTGACGGATCCGTTAGCCGGGGCATCTCGCTCGACGTGTATAACGCACGCGGGAAGTGAACACGGCTACGCGCCACGACGTCGGCTCGTGCAAGCGCTCGGGCGAGAGCTTCCAAGGTCGGCCCATGTTGGGGAGGCGCTGTGTGGCTGCACCGGCGTCGCGCGGGAGGCCCTTTCGGCTCCTCAGCAGCGCTGTCTCTCCGGCCTCCCGCGCGACGAAACTGCTGAGGTCACCGACGGCTTTAAAAATTCGCGGGGCGTTTCATTATGCTTCGGGAGCCAATGACGGTGCGGCATTGGCTAATAAGAACGCCCAAGAACCAATCCCGAAGCATAAAAAGAAAACAGCCACGCCCCGAATGTGCCGCCTGGGATGTAGTCACTCGGGAACACATATCCAATATGTTCCCGCTTTTAGTTACAATGAAGTAGCCTGTATTTTTATCAAAAGCGAGACAGTTTCATACCACGATAGACCCTTTTGAAAAGTTCATCGAGCAACATTGGCGGTTGCCATTGCTCGAACATGAAGCGCGTGATTGGATCCCAGTCCTCGCCCAACGCTGACGTCAGCACTCGTGTCCATTGCGAGCCGAGCCGAGTTCTCGCCGAACGATGACGAAGGCCCAGTGTTTAATTCATGCTCAGAGTGTGCGATGAAGCAATGGAGAACAGGCACTGGCGCGGACTTTTGAAAAGGGTCTATTAAAAGACAGTAGAGAGGGTTAAGTAGAACATGTGCGATCGTATAACGTGTTACGTGGGAAACGCAAAGAGGTACGTATCCTTTTATGTCTCGAAACGCAAGCTCTCACGAGGCGTACAACTATGTGAGAAAGGGCAACATCGGAACGGAAATTGCGTCAAGTTAATAAGATCGAGAATGCGAAGCATGGAAAGCAGCTAAGGGCAAGAACCCGGTTCCGCGCACGTGCGTATCTCCTCCCGTATACGAACTTGACCGTGGCTGACCTGGAGTGGGACCGCTCGGATATACAGTCACTCGGTCACCGACGTTTGATAAACATCTGCGCTGCACCGCTGGACATTTTCACAACGCACGCTCGACGAGGGAACCGTGGCAAGGGAAGGGAGTGCCGGGCGGAATTCGGACGGGCTATTCCCCGATTTGCGTATTTTCGCATTGTCCGATGTCGTCCGAGGTTTTAATCAAGTCTGACGTGTTCGCGCCGCAGTCCAAGAACAATGGTGGTACGTTTGTCTTTCCGCTTTTATTTTTATTCTCCGCGGCTGCATTAAGCGAAAGAGGGGTTCGTTCGTAAGAATTGCTTTGTTGTCTGGATGTTCTTTCGATGCAAATGAAGTAGTCTGCCACGTTGTTTTTTGGTCATAGCCTCCATTCGGCAAATAATTAGAAATAACCATAAAAAAAAAGCAAGATACAAAAATTGCTTCACGCGCGCATTGTTGTAGCTTGCTTCTTCCGGGGGCGTACGCATGCAGCACCCTTCTTATCGGGGACCTTTAGCAAGCCGTTGCCGTGCTCCGCGTGCTACCGGAGCCTCCTAAGGATGCTTTTAAGCACGCGCCCGTGTGGTACCGTGACCGCGGGGCGCGCGCTTAAAAGCATGCTTCCAAGGCTCCGGTAGTGCGGTACGGGGAGCACGGCAACGGTTTCCTAAAGGTCCCTAATCTTCTGCCACCACCGCGACCGGAAGCGTACGTTTTGGACGAAATGTGTTATAGAGCACGCGTGATTTTTTTTTTTTTTTTTTAATAATTTTTTGCGGTCGCGATTTTATTTCGGACTGGAAATCCGGAGTGTCTTCGTTGGCCGGTTTGAGACAAAAATTGCGCCTGAGTCATTTACGGGGGACCTATAGATTTCGAAGTACTTGAACATCAGCGAATATAGTAGCAGCCTCGGTGGACCTAGTCATAAAGAACTGAGGAAAGCAAATCATCTATACTCCATTACAACTTGGAAGACGCAAAACGCGAGATTTTTCTTTTTTAGTTGTTAGTAGTTGTTGGGTAACTTGGAGGAAAAGCGCCAGTTGCGGGCTATGTATTCCCATTTGGCAGGCTCGAACCCCGCCTAAAATTTCTACAGCCTGACGAAGACTTAATTGTTGTGGTGTAAGTGCAGTGTAATGCGTAGGCTTCTATAGTTCTGAATTAAACCTATTTCGTTGATAGGAGCGTGTCAGGTACCCTTCGTCGGTTTGACACCTCAGCCCTCAAACGCTTTCTTTTTTTCTTTTTTTTTTTCTGGTTTGTTATTTGGCGCGACACGAAAATCTCTCAAATCCAGGAAGTACGCCGTATGAGCAAGCTGACAATGGTTGGATTCCTCCAACCGATATGAATAAAAACCCTTTTTCCGAGAGTGAATCACAGCTACATGTTATTGAACGCTTAAACGTTATTGAACATGACAGCACGTGCACCGTTCAGGGTCTACCATCCCTTGCACAATACTTGGCTATGCTGCCGATATGTTGTCGATGCGTTGTATCGGCGTAGATTCAATTTTATCATTTCGTTTGGACTCAGGCGGTCCCGGCATCAGTCTGCTCAGTTCAAACGTAAAACTCGATGTTGAGATTCACTTGAAGACAGCGGCTAGCCACTGAAGCAGAGACCAGCTTATGTCCGCCTGCCAGCAGAACTCTTCCACAGTACCATGCGCAGACATGTTCTTCTGTGACAAGCTGGTTTCGCTGCAGTGTCTGTCGCTCTTCGGTCCAATGGGACGAGTTCGTAATCGTTGGTCTTTGAATGCTTTGCCCGATCTTTTCAAATTCTTTATCACGCTGCTTTGCATCGTCCCCCGCTACCTTCGAGGCACGCCGCTTCAGCCACCTGGGATCTTTTGTCCTTGACACAAGAACCCCGCGGAGAACAGTCTCTGCTTATGAATCGTTCTGTCGCACATATGTTGAACAAAAACCGGCTATAGAGGCCTGTTAACGTCTACGAGCGTAAGGTCCGTTTGTTTTCCTCAATGGGACCTCCCGGTCGGTCGCAGCGTGCGGCCACGTTTACCAAGGTTCCTTCGTGCAACAAGTAAAGATACAAAATCATGAAGATAACGCAGTAACTCATTGAACACGTTGTAAAGATGGACGCTGAGGTCAGTGAACGCCAAGCTCCAAACCCGCACTTGTTTAGTTTATTAATTGTGCCTTTAAATCGTTGCTCTTTCGGTTGTTTTTTTTTTTCTTTGTTTTTTTTTTTTGTGGCGAGAGAGCAAGGTGTTTTGACCGAGCGGAGTCCGTGGTGGTGGAGGGGCGACTCGAGCCAGGCACTGGGCTGGAGCTCAGCGGGAACAACGATGAGCCGCGATCTCTCTCGAAAAGTACACTGTTTATTTACAT